CATCTCCTTGCTGGGGTTTGGCCATCTCATGGCCACTTCCAGAGGAGTTTGGCCACCAGGACCTGGGAAGGGGGGTCTTCTCACCCCCTGCTCACCTGGCGCTTGCTGTTGGGGTCGATGGGGTAGTTGCAGTGCTCACAGATGTCGATGTTCTCAATCCAGTCCTCATCATAGTCTGAGCTGCAGCAGCAGCCCATGGTGGCTGAGGGGGGTGAGGGGTGGTGAGGGAAGCCTTCCTCCCCCTCCAGCCATGCCTGTCCCCCTGCTCCTGCACATCCCCATCCCTGCATCCATCCATCTGGCTGCCCACATTGCATGGCCCATCCTGCAGACTCTGCTGAACTCAGGGCATTCCCTGACACTCAGTCACCAGCCATATTTTCTCCTAATTTTGCTCTGGCTTTGTTAATTAAAAACACTGAAGGCAATTAATCCCCAGCCTGAGGCTCCCTGAGCTGCCAGCACAGCCTGGCATTGCCTCCTTTGCTGGCTCCTTCCCACCTTCCAGCCCTTGGGCTAATCCCTGTGTTCTCCACCACCCATTAGGAATTAATAAGTCCTCGCTCTGCCCCACAACGTGTGTTTTACGAGGTTTGGCTGCAACAGGCACCTCCCTGGCCCTAAAAGTGGCTCCTGGGGTCAGAGGCGGATGCGAATGCTCCCCCACCCACGCTGCATCACCTCTGATTTCCTTCTCCCCCCACCTGGGGCTCTCTCAGCCTCCCCCCCCCCACATTCAGCCCCTGTCACTGTGCTCTGGCATCAGAGGTGTCCTTAGAACCCCCCTCCCTGCTCGGGGACCCCGCATCCTCAGCAGCCCACCCTAAAGCATCAAGAATCCCTCACCCTCAAGCATCAGCCCTGGCCACGGTGACACCAAGCAGGCACAGAGCTGTGCTGCAGGATCCCTGGCACCGGGGCACTGATGCCACCAAGGTCATCCAGGCTCTGCAGACCCCCCGGGCAGCTCTTGCCTTCCCAGCAGGGCTGAGCGCCGGGAGCCGCGGCAGCACCACCCATGGGAACAGCAGCCCACGGCCCTGGAAAAAGCTCTTCTGCAGAATCCCCCACGCCCACACTGCTGGGATTTATCTCCACCAAGACCTGGCCACCAAATCCTCTTCCCAGGCCCTGCCCAGCAGTGTTAGAGGGGCTCTCTGGGGGGCTGGTGTGGTTTCCACAGGCATCGGGTGCCAACGGCAGGAGCTGAGAACCAGCCCAGGTGTCTCAGCCCCCGGCACCCAAAATCAGCAGCTGCTTTGGCAAGCAAGAGAGCTTTTATTTGGCACCGAAGTGATGCAGCTGCAAGGGTCCCTGTCCCCACCATGCCCTGCAGAGAGCCAGGACCCTGGTGGAAGCTGGTAGCTGCTCTGCTGGGAGACATTAGCCACCAACGCTGCCACCACCATTTTCTCCGCAGTGTCCTACCCGGCAGCCATCGCGCCGCCGGGTTCTCACAAACACCCACCAAAATATACCTCTCTCTGTGCTGCCCAGGAGGGCACAGCACTTGGGGGTTTCACTGGAGTGGGTACCCCCATGGGCAGTTGGGGACACAGGGAAGAGCCTCAAAGGGGGTCCCCAGGGAAGGTGCAGGGTCCCCAAGGTGCCACCAGGATCTGCCTGCCAGAAGCCCACAGTGCCAGGGGTTGAGGACCAGGAGCTCCTCCCTCAGGGACAGGGTCATCAGGGTTCTTTCAACACCCACAGCAGGAACACAGGGACTGTCCCCACAGTGCTGCCTCGGGGTGCCCAGTGACAGAGCAGCCAAGGGGACCAGGCGATGGGTGAGTTTGGTGAGGAGGGGGCAGAGAAGGAAGCCCCCTCCCTGCCATGCAGTGCTGCTTTGGGAGCTTCAATGCTGGAAACACAACACCCCACCCGGGTGCCTTCAGCTCCCAGGGATGCTGATTTAAACAACACACTCTGGCACCCAAAAATGTGCTTGGCCACACCACAGTGCCCTGATGCAGGCAGGAGCAGGCAAGGCCCCAGTGATGTCCGGGGAGCAGCAAAGTCCATTCCCAGCCCCAAGCACCACCCTGGCCCCACAGAGAAGCCCTCACTCTCCAAAACCTGCCCCCAGCCCTTCAAACATCTTCACCACCAGCAAGCACTGCTGGGAGGTGTTTTTTCCTCCCTGCACGAAGCCAGAGCAGGGAGGGAGGTGCTGCTATTGTTCCTTTTCTTTTTTTTTTCTCTCCTTTTTTCTCATGTACTGAAGCCACAGCACAATTTCCACCCAGCAGCTGTGTCACCTGCACGGCGCCAGGGCCACACCAGTGAAACAGGGTGTTTGAAGTCAGGTTTTGTGACTCCATCTGTGCAACTGAATTTCTCCTGCGAAGGCAGCCTGGGAGGGGTGTGTAGGCACCCCGTGCCCCTAGTAAGGTGTCTGAGTGTGTGCATGGGTGTGCAGGTCTGTCCTCACACAACCATGTAGGTGCCTCTCCCTGGCTCTGCCTCTCCTGGAGTGTGTCCAGGCTGAAGGTTGACCTGCCCCTGTCCCTGATGCTCTTCTAGGCTCACTATGGTCCCTGAGCCAGCTGTTCCTCAGCTGGGGGGTCAGTCCCATGCTGGTGAAGCCTTGCAGAGACACTGAGGACCATGGCCCCAGAGCTGCCACCGCAGTGGGGGGGGTTGTTTGTGCTGAGACAGCAACAAAACCAGGTGTATCTCAGTGTCTGAACCCCCCCAGACTGGGCAGTGGACCCCGATGAACCGGCACTAAACAGCTGCCTGGCCCCAAGGCACAGACAGGGAGGTGAGAGCCCGACCCCAGGGACAAAACTCCCACTTTGCCCTGGAAATGGGGAACTGGGGTGAGCCCTGCGAGGGAGCTGGCACCCCTGGCAGGCAGGGGACATCGGGGCAGTGCCTTTCAGCCCAACTGGGAGGCCACAGAGGAACGGGGAGCCCAGCCCTGCTCCCCCATCTCCCACCCGGGCACCTGAGCCCACCCCCCTCCTGCAGCAACGAGCCCAAACCTGATCCAATGGGCAACCTCAGAGAGTGCCACGGGACCCCCCACCCTCCCCAGGCACCCAGGGGTCCCCAGCACCCATCCGGAGGGTACAAACCCTCTAGCCCCCCAGGTCCCCGTTACCTGTTGGCGATGAAGACCAGTCCCTCAGACTCCCATGGCCCGGCAGCAGAAGCCAGGGCACCGTCTCCCTCTCACGTCCTCCCCATTCCCGGCTGGAGCTCAGCGACCCTCCCGGGAGCAGGCCCTCTCCCCCCCCCGCCGCCGCTCCCG